AAAAAAAAAAAAAAAATTCACGTGAAAGATTTCTCAAACGAAATTTTTCAAAGTTATTCGATTTTTTATTTACATTCCCTATTCCGATATTCCCTTTACTTACTGAAAAATAAAATAGTTGCTTCCCTTTTAATCCTGAATTTCAACGAGATTTGATATTTGGCACGAATTTATATATCATCGGGGGTGAGGGATATACATCTCTCCAAATTTCATCACTTTAACATTTCAAAGATACTTCGAATAAAACATCTCGCGTACTTTTTTATTTATATTTCACAAGATAGTACGAATCGAATTTCTCGCATCGTAAAAAAAAAAAAAAAGGGGGAGAGGAAAAAAATCTCATATCCAACGAACGTCCTCAACTTTGAGAGTCGTTTCGCGCGCGATAGCGCGTAACAAAATTTCACGCGAACCTTCCTCGTCTCCTGGACGAGAAGATCCATCTCGAGATCGGTCGTAACGCGGCGCATCTTTGAATTGCAAAAAAGCTCGCGAGATTGCCGCGAAAATTAAGGGAGAAACTAACGGTGGAGAATTGGTGGGCCGAGTTCATTCACCCGAGAAAAAAATTTTGCCGACTTTTGTCCCGAGAAAGGTTCACAAAGCGTCCCCCTCCCAGTTTTCTCACGGATTGTGTCGTCGAACGAACACGCGGAATGAAATCGAAGAGGGCACGCGCGTCTAATCCCGCGAGATAACAGCAAGAAGCAACGAGAACGAATGTCTTCTTCGAACGGAATCTTATTTTACGTTTCGCGATAATAACAGCAACGTAGGTTGTCTCCCACGTTCCCCTGTTTCGCTTCATTTTCCACGGATTTGTCCACGCCCTTGGAACGATATTAGAACAGTCTATCTTGCTTTTTTACGAAACGAAGTATATATTTTTCGATAACACGCTCGGTTATTCCAGATATTTCGAAAGAGAAATCTCTTCCACGGAGAAGTTTTAGGGTAGAAATTTATGAGAATAAACGGAAGGATGTTTGGCGTGGCGAGGGTTCGCAACGATTTCGGGAGCGCATCCGTGAAAGTTTGTGGCGGTAATCCGCCGCGACAGTTACTCCGTTGCTCGATCCTCCGTTCCCGCGTTTTAAGCGACGCGCGAAGACGACGCAAGATTGGAATCGATTTGTCGCGACGAAGGACAAGCTCGAAATTGCTGTCGAGCGAAAAGTTTCCATGAACTCCTCCCTCTCTCTCTCTTTCTCTCGGCAAGTTTTTGTCTCGGCAGGCATGTTACTTTCCCCCAGTCGCTCGAGAGTTTGCTCGAAAGTCGAATCAATATTTCCGCTTTGCTTAATCAATTTGGAATCGGTTGAGTGCAATTAACTTGCCTCTTAAGTGGTCGTCTGCAATTGAATTAAACTCTCTAACGGCAAATTTGTTAAAACCAGAAGGGGGGACGTGTTTTTAAAACTTTGCAGGGCTTACTTAGACTTCCATTTCCCGCTTCGTGCAGACGCGCAGTGACAGGTGGCGGATCGTGAAAATCTTTCGTAGAAAAATTTGAGTCTTGAACGCGTGAAGAATCGTGGAAAATAATTTTTAAATCGTGCGATATATCACTCTATGTACGACTCTTTTCTTAAACTGGCCGAACAATATTCGAATACAGCATACGTTTATGGTATAGCTACCATACTCCATTCCACTTTTCTGCGATAAAAGCTCTTGAACCGATGTCACGTTACACTCCCTTGACGTTTCATTCACTTCTGTATACTATCATGTTTGGTATATATTTATTATTATTATTTGCACCGTCGATTTATTTATTCAACCTCTCGATTCGTTTGCGCGTGCTTTTTCTATTTGATTTATTTGTTTCCGACAAAAGAATCAAATATTAAAACACGGGAGAAGAATAGAAAGCCCGTGTCACCATCGACGATGTATCACAAACGAAACACGATGTTGAATATACACGATGTTGAATCGTGGCAAATACGTACTCTCTTCTTCGGACAAGTCCTCGCCGAGACATTGCAGCACTGCCCTCAAATCGGATGCGGTGATGTATCCTCGATTGTGTTTATCGAATACCTGCAACCGAAGGGAAAGAATCGCTACAGAGATCTTCTTTGTTGTTATACGCTTTTTATTATTATTATTATTATTATTATTATTATACTATTGCAAATATAATAGAACGTGTATTTATTCGAACGAATTCTTTCGACGCAATTCTCTCCAACATTTTTGCATTTCAAAGTAGAGGAGATTAAAAGAACATTCAAATTTTACCACTTCCTTTATTATCCAATATTTAACCAATAGTAGTTCACAATTATTGCTATCGACGTTCATATATTTAAAATGGAAAGATTGAAATCCAATCTCTACTATTTTTAATTAATTATTTAATCACGTGATTTACCTAAAATTTCTAGAGAATCGCTATTCTAAAGTAGAAGCGATTCAAAAATATCCAAATTCAAACTTTATCGCTTTCTTCATCCAATATTTCGTAATTCATAATTTCCGAATGCATTTCGATTCGGAACGAATTCGTTGTTATCGAAAACAAAAAGTAACGTTTCGTTTTCTCAAAATATAAAATTCTTCGCCGACACGACGATTAAAGTCTAAGCCTCCGAAACACGTTCCTTTATCTCGAGGCAAATGGGAGGCAGAAAATGGCAGCCGTCTCTTTTCTCCCCGTGACACGGAGCGAAAGGTGATGACAATCACGCGGTGGGGCGATAGTTTCACGAGAAAATGCTGCCGCGGGGATAATATCGACGTGCGCGTCTATTATTTATCAACCGCGCCACGACTTTTGTCGAGGATTGATGCCGCTCCTGGGAATGTGGCCACCGTTCCTTTCGCTTCCTCCCCTTCCTCCGCCTCGTTACAAGGCAAATTAATATAGGTTTGCCACGCCGAGAGAAACGAAGACACGTACGAGAAATAAGAAGTCACCATAGTGTCCATTTGGGATGTGTCCGTTTGGATTTCCGGTGGTGAAATGTGGAAGAAAGTTCATCGACCGAGGGTAACGAGGAGGAGCGGAATTCGAAGGAACGGTATTATTTTCATGGTGGATTTTAATGATGGTTGGTTTTCGATATCGAGGAAATTGTTCCTGTTGTCTTCTCACCGTTACGAGAACCAATTTAAACAGAGAATTTAAAAGTTCCTCTCAACGCGAGTTGCCAATACGTATTTTAATATTGATGATTCATATTTCTATGCTCTACTGATTCATTCCTCTGTTGAAACGTGGATGTATATTTATGAATTATATATATTATAGCATGCTGTTATTTGAATAATAGCGTAATTTGTTCCTCATATTGCGGTTCGATCCATGGGGTTATTGCTTCGTAACGTGTTGAAAATTGGAAAATAAAATTGCACACTTGTTTATTGGTTATCTGGGAATCGCTCAAGTCCAAATTTGCTATTGTATAGATCCATCGTAATACGTGTATAAAGTTAAAAAAAAAAGAAAAAAAAGTTGTTGAATGGAATAATGAAACGCGGATTACCAGATGTGCCGAATTGCCGCTTCAATTTCCCATCGTTGCACTTAAGGATCGTCGCTTAAGGCATACGCATAGTTCCTAGAAGAAGAAGAAGAAGAAGAAGAAGAAGAAGAAGAAGAAGAAAAAGTCGAAAAGCTTAACGAGCCCCATCTCCTTACGATATTATTCCCTTTCTCTCTCTCTCTTTCTCTCTCTCCTTCGAAAGAGCAATATGCAGTCGCTCTTTATTTCAATGGTGGCACGCATCGATCCTCCTCGTACAAAATGCACGCCTCCCTGTTCCAAGTCGGGAAAACCTACTTTCAGAACAACGCGCGAAACGCTTCACGCCAGATTATTTACAGAATAATGTAAAGTTTCAGCCTCGTTCAGGGAGGCGGAACGACGATAAAGTAACTAAATACTACTTGATATTCGCCTCTTAACCTTTCAACTTTTAAACGAGTTTAACGCACAACAATGGCGCGGCCAACTTTTCTCTCCCCCCTCCTCATCAATTAAACACGTTACGTTTCGATTTAGAATCGGCTTCCATATGCCGACGGGATAAGGACAAAAACTCGACTCGACTTTTCTCGCTCCCTCTCCTCCCCCAATCTTCCGCCGCTTTCGTCTCGAGGCGAAAGGTGGAAGAGGACGTGGCGGGTGATTGCGAATCGACCAGCTTCCAGGTGGTCGGAACTCGGCGAGTCTCTCCCATTACAGTTTAACGATTACACAGTTTTCTGTTTCTCCGTGCTGGAAATCGTTGGCTCCGTTTCCGTTCACCGAAGGAGAACGCGGTCTTTCTCCGGAAAGAGATGGAGGAAAAAGGGAAAGGGAGAAAAATATCTCGAGATACGAGACTTCTCGCGTCGAATCGGCGGTAGGAAATCGCAATCAACCAGCCATTACGCCAATTACCAAATCATTTAACCCCCTCCCCATTCGTTCATTGTTTGCTAGAGGTCTCGGAACTCGCGCCGAGCTCGACGAACGGTTCGTCATAATCAACGTTTATATATCGTCGTTTGCATAACCGAGGTGCAAACTCCAGTATACAATAAACGACCGCGCATCACGCTTTGATGGCAATTTTTGCGCGCTGGTTTCGTCGACGAATTGAACAATTTGGTTGATCGTTCGATCGATCGATCGAAACTGAATTCGGTGAACCGAACCGAATTGGGAATCGAGTTCGAATTGTTTAAATCGGACGGATCGGTCTGATTGACTGACTCAGAAAATGAAGCGTTGAACTGATTTTTCTTTTTCCTTTTCTTTTCCTTAGAATATTGAGAGGAATATTTATTTTGTGGACGAGGGGAAAAGTTAATGAAGGAGGGGGAGAGATTCGAAATGAGTGGTCTATGGTGGTTATTATGTATGGAGAAGTAAGTGCAAAGGTTAAGGACGATTAATACAGGTTTCTACGTCAACCCCTGTTGAAACAGTGTCATGGCCGAGCGAAGGAGGCTAATGAGGAAAAATCTGTCGCCCATTGAAGCTTCTGCCAATTTTATCTTTCTATGAGCTGGGTAATAGAATGAAATATCCAACGTATATATAAAATATAGGAAGAAATTGAAAAAAAAGTAATCCAATGAAAGGAAAAACTACGTATAAGATAATTCCAAGAGAAACATTCCTGAATAAAAAATTTTAAAATATATAGAAAGAAATTGAAGAAAAAGAAAAAACGTAATTCGATGAAAGGAAACTATACGCATAAGGTAATTCTAAGAGAAACATTCTTAAATAAAAATTTTAAAATAATTGAATTTTATTCTCATTATTTATCGTGTTATTTTCTCCGACAAACGTGCAGAAAGAGGAATAAATAAAACGTTAATATAATTAACGGAGAATGCAATGACGTTTCAACGAAACTATAATTCTTTCATTTCTTCTACGTATTAATATAATTAACACACATACATGAAACATTGTTCAACGATTTAACGATTAAAAAGACACGAAGAGAATTCTAAAGAAAGTTATAATTACATTTTTCAATAAAAATCTTTCTTAATGAGTAGCATAAATAACGTCAAATTCGTAGACAATTCTCAAAAAAAAAAAAAAAAAGTAAGTTAAAAAAATATTCGTCCGTCTCTTCCGACAGTCCATCTCTCCAAGACTTACTTCAACCGCATATATATGCTAATGCGAGAAAAGATTAAAATCCTCGATTTTTCGTATCCAATTTATCCGATCTAAGATCGCCCCCTCTCCCATGCACACGATCATTCGTCTCGCGGAGACGCGTGTACGAGTGACAGAATAAATCATGTCCTCCGCCTCTCGAGCCTTAGATAACGAGAGCTAACGGATGAGTGTATGTGAATGCGTGAGAGAGAGAGAGAGAAGCTCCATTCGAAATAGAAGAAGCTCCAAGACGCGAGTATTATCTCGTTTCCACGACAAATGGGCGGAATTTGGCACGAGCGAATGGCGAAAGCCAAATGGGGGATGGAATCGAAGAAAGGATTACAGAGGAGGATTGGTAGTCGCGGCCGCGATAAGGCGGTAATCGCGAGGCGTTAAGGCGGCGGCGAGACGTGACGAACGAACGTTTTCGTGATTCGAAAATTCGAAAGGAATTTTCTCGTTCTCGAGGAGTGTCCGGCGCGAGGAATATTAAGATCTCTCCTCGCTCTAATTCCTCGAACCCTCGTGTTACCGTCGTGACCAATTAGCCCCGTTGTTCTAAGCCACCGCGCCGGGTACGGACACTTTGCGATATTAAAATTGCCTCCCTTAAAAGCGGCCGCCTTTTCTATTACCCTTGCGCGCGGCCACCGCCTATTTTAACCCCCGTAAACCCTACGAAAAGCCACTTTCGTCGATTAAGAAGCAATTGGTTACCGAAAGGAGAGGAGGGAGGAGAGAAAATAATGTGGATCCTTTTTTCTTTTCTCTCGTCGTCTAGCCAAAAGGAAAGCCAAAGTCGTTGATTCACGACGTCCTCTTTTGTCGATCTACGTTCGATTCAAAAGCTATCGATACTCTCGAGACGCGGAATGGATTTTCGAATTTGCGTCTCTTCCTGTTCGCTACACTAAATCTCTTTGCGCGGTTATTTTATCTCTTTTTCGATCCACATATCGGTTGTTGCCGATATGCGTGTTATACGATTGATAGATTGATATATACATCTGACGAATTCTTTCGTTTTCCATTAGAATATCGTAATACGATATCGCGAATCTGTGTATCGTTCCTTTGATTCGACTCGTTTCGTTTTCATTTCTTCTTTTTTCTTTTCTTTTTTGTTTCTTCTTTTTCCACGTGCAAAAAGTTTTCTCGCGCGAATCGTAAATTAAGCCGTGTTATAAGTTTCGATCAAGTCGTAACACAACTTCGATCGAATTAAACACCTCCGATTGCAGCCAATCAACGTTCCATTTTTTCACAACGAAATTCAATTTTCCCGTAATAATTGAATAACCGTCGATCGCGGGATAAATATTAGCCAGGAATCAATTATACGTTAAAAAAAAGAAAAAATAGTTCTCGATCTAGCGATAAACGAATTAACTCTCTCTAAAAGAGCGACGCATCGAGAGTTAATTT